TCAGGTTGCCAGTCCCAGTCTAACCTTATCTGTGCTCAAGGTCAATTTGAAGAACTTTGAGAACTGTTTTTCTATGTCCATAGTGCCTAGCACTAGGGACCCTGGCTTTTAGTTGGGAATTAAAGCCATTATTTCAGTACAAATAATAAAATATATAGCTTAGAAATGGTAACAATTAAAGTGATGAAAATTCAAGGGATACTATTCCTGAAAGGAAATCTAAATGTATTTACTTTTCATGGGAGATTTGGGCAAGGCTCATTAAAATGTAAATCCAAATCACATGGCATGAATTTTACTGAAGTGACCCATGTCTGCATTTGGATGGTTGTAAGAATAAAGCATCAGGGAGCTGGAAATCAGGGCCTTTACAGCACCCAGAAACCAAAGCTCTGAGAAGAGCATGCCAGCAAAGAGATAGAAACTTCTACAGCATGGGGTAGACAAGAAGTGCTAGTACTTTTCCGGCTCACCTCATTTATTACAGTAGGCTCTGGGCCTAGTAGGCAAGGCAGGATGTACTGCTAGATCCAGATATTTTTAGTACTATTTATTCTTGACAGAACCTTCTGACCTACCAGGCCATTCTACAAAGAGAAAGGGTTTCCCTGCCAAGGCCTGTTTATAGAGAATAAATTAGTTTGGGACTTCTAGAAGTCCCTTCCAGCATGAAGAAGTGTCTGGCATGGAGGATGTGGCAGGGCATTATGTGTGCCAGCCACTTTAAGGCCCTGGAGCTGGCAGCCTCCAGGTGCCTAATGAGGGCAGCCATTTTAGGCTCAGGGCTGCCTATATAAACAAGGCAGTTTGGCCGCTGGAGAGGAGGCAATAACATTGCCTGGCTTAAGGGCTGCTGAGTTTCATCTGGAGGTAAGGGAGAAGCTGTAGGGGATGGTAGGAGGCTCCTGGTCCTGGGTATGACTGAAACTACACTCTGCTGGGAGTTGGTGGCCTGGTATGGCTCCCAGTGGTGTGGGAACCCCCAGGAAATGCCAGGCCAGTTACCACCCTGGTGAAAGGTGGGTTGGGGGTGCCTTAACCCCTAGCCCCCACCTTAGGGTGGGTGGTGGTACACTAGAGGTAGTTGTGGGGGTTTGAGACCCTGAGGAGGAGAGTTGAGGCCAGGTATGGCTATGGCCATCTAAGCCTACCTGTGGAGGGAAGCCCCAAGACCCTGAGTAAAAGGGTTGTTATGAGCAGTGTGGAGCCCCCAGTGTGAGGGGGGGGCAGCCAGAGGGTGAGAGAGCTGAGTCCTGACCCCAGTAAGTCCTCCAATGCTGGGAGGCAGAGTTTGAGTCAAATATAACATCGGAGCCCCAGTTGAGAGGGGGCCAGTGCTGTGGAACCATAGTGAGAGGGGGAAGTGATCAGAAACCCCAGAGAGAGGGTGATATGGAGCCCTGTGAAGGGAGAGGGGGCTCAGCCAGAGAGAGTGAGAGCTGAGCCCTGACCCCAATAAGTCCTCCACTGTTGGGAGGCAGTGTGTGGATCAAAGACTACACTGGTTGTAGCACCATGACCTGCTGCCCAGGGGGGGAATGAGTCCCCTGTGAGACCCTGAGGCACCAGTCATGGTGTGAGGTACCCTGGTTCCCCACCCCTGTAAAGGAGGACCCAGAGAGGGGGACCCTGGGATAAGAGTATGGGTCATGCATCGGGGCCTGCCAGAGCTTCCCCTGCCTTGCCCAGGCGGGGGCTAGGACCAGGAGGGTCACAAGGGCAAGGAGGCCCACTGAGAGGGACACCCAAGAGCCAGGGGCCTGGGGTCCTGACTGCCCTGGAGGTGGGCCAGGGCTAGTGTGAGCCGAGGATCCCAGTGAGGGGAGCACACCCGAAGGGGAACCAATGGCAGGCCAATATATGGCCTGTTATGATGGGGGCAGAGTCTGCCTGAAGGGAGGAACCCAGGTGGGGTCCTACAGTAAGATTCTGGGCCCCATCATGGAGGACTGGTGTATATAAGAACATTATGATGTCATCAGCGAGGCTTGGGCTGCGGTGTAGGGGAGGAATGGAGCCACAGATAGCACCCCTCAGCAGTGGGGCAGAAAATGGGCAGCCTCCTGCCTAATTACATCTATTAATTAATCAATTAAGACCAAGGCATGGTGGGTGAGAAGGTGGGAGGTTAGCCCATGAACAGGTGGGTGGGCCTCGCAGAGCTTGGGCCTCGGTAGCCCCCCTGTTACAGGGGACATCACCATTGATAATGCCATTATCAGGGGCTCAGGTTCATAGGCAGTATGAGATCTGCTGGTTTCTTTAAAGACCCAGACATCTGTACTGGGACAAATACTGCGGGTTTCAATACAGTACATGTTAGTGCTGGCATATCACTCTTCTCAGTGCTGGCCTTTTGGTACCAGCATTGGCCTAGCTTCAGCAAGCACTAGATGAGGCAGTGTCCATCATGTCCATCAAGGGTGGTTCCAAAGAGGATGGAACTAGACTGTTCTCAGTGGTAGCAAATAAGAGAACAAGAAGCAATGGGCTCAATTTGCAGCAAGGGAAGTTTAGGTTGGATATTAGGAAAAAACTCACTAGGAGGGTAGTAACATGCTAGGACAGGTTACCCAGGTAGGTTGTAGAGTCTCCATCCTTGGAGGTTTTTAAGACCAGGCTCGACAAGGCCCTGGCTGGGATGATGTAGTTGGGGATGGTCCTGTTTTGAGCAGGCGGTTGGACTAGATGTGACCTCCTGAGGTCTGTTTCAACCCTCCTTTTTCTATTGTTCTATGAATCCATGTTGGCTTGTGTTATCAGGTTCTTAAGCTCAAGATCAGGGCTGCTCGGGAATTTTTTTTTCCTACAAAATCAAAACTTTTTCAGGAATGAACCAATTTTGACAAATTTATTGTTGGGGATGGGGGGAAAGAGTTCTTGAGTCCATGTGAAATGTCTGGTCAACAGCAGAGAACATATCACCCCACCCAGTTTTGCCAATAGCCCTGTGGTAAGGGTAAAGAGCTAGGATGTGGCATGTCCTGGTTCCAAGCCCCTTATCTCAAATTCCCTTTAGTCTCAGGAAAGAATATCAGAATGGGGCCATGAACATTGACTGCTGATAGCCCCAATCCACTGACCTTGGATGATGCTGGGTAGATACTTTTTTCTGTTTAGTTTCTGCAAAAACATTTCTAAATACTTATGTTCTTTCCGAAAGGGGAACAAATCTTGACCTTTTTTTCATTGAAATAGCATGCCCTTTATTCAATGCAACATTCAAAGGTGTTAGATCTTTGGTTCTTGCCTCCTTTCAGGCTTCTCTCTCTTCAGAGAAGAGGCTTGGTGACTCGCGTCATGCATTGCAGCATGCCAATCCGTATCATCTCAAGAAGTCAGTAATGTGCTTGGAATGCCAAGGTCCCGCACAGAGCTCCCTTCCTGGGGACAAATGAGGGCTCACAAAAGGGGTGCAGGCTCCCACTGAGATGCCAATTAAGAAACCTTACTAATTAAGGAAGGTATAGGAATGAAACCCTACTTCGAGTGCACAGAAGACATGGAACAGTGGAGAATGACACCTCCTTCTTGGAATCAGAAGGACATTGCTCAAAACTGAGGCAATGGGGCTTGCTGGGGAAGGAAAAAGTATCCATCCAGGATACAGGCCTTTCTTAAACACAAAGGCAGTGGTTAAGGGAATACATCCATCACATGGAGGCAGGGCCTAAAGCCAGAATGGGTGGATTTAGAAGGAAAAGACCTCATCCCTAGAGTGAACCAAATTGATTACATTTAAACTAAAATTAAAATAAACACTAAAATAAAAAAATCAAGGAGCTGAAGAAGGGTGAGGAAATATTGTCTTAACTATTTAAAATGATAAGCCCAAGTTCTGGTCAAACATCAGCAGGCTCTGGCTTGTTCCCATGTGCACTAATAGGCATTGGGGGGGGGGGGGC